CTGAGGTGTGTGTTTACTGTGATCTCCCTCACCTTGCCTCACCTCACCTCCAGTTGTCACGCGTGTGTCCACTATCATCACCTTGAAGTGCCATTCGTTACCTCACCACACACACACACACACACACACACACAAAACGCATTTATTCTCCCTAAATTAACGTATGCGTCACCAGCCTGGTCGTCTTCTCTCAACTCTACCCAACAACGTCAGCTATAGAAGGTACAGAAGAGGGCCTGCAGAATCATGCTCAGCGCAGAATACTACGGCTACAACAACGCTCTCTCCATCCTGGAAATGCCATCCCTCAGTGACCTCGTCATCGCCACCTACTGCCACCAGCAGTCCCCCGCCCACTTCGCGCAGTCCGCCGCCACAACAAAATTCAGCCCATAAGAGCCCGCACTGATACATATAATAACAGCACCATCCCATCTATTGTTAAAATACTATACAGCTCCTGAGTTATGTACTGTACAGCCCTGTAAATGTATCGGACGCATATTATATCATTATGTCTAAATCACATGTAAGTCTGTATATTTTCAGCCACCGGCTGCAACTCTATTAATGAACCGTTTATTATTATTATTATTATTATTATTATTTATATTTATATTATTATACATACACTTCAGGGTGATACGTTATCCCCAGGGGGTAGGGGGGGGGGGCTTATGTCGATCAGGAGGAATGAAACAGGATTCGACCAGATTGAGTGGGGAATGACTCTACCAGATAGGAGGGATCGACCAGGACGACTCAGGCAAGAATCTAAGAAAAGACGAGGAATGAATCGACCAGGTGGAATGAAGGACGATTTGACCAAGTAGATAGAGTCGACCAGAGTGGAAGGCTTGACCTACTGACCCTGACCTTTCGACCTGACGAGTAGAATCAATAAGGCCAGGAGGGATGAGCCTCAGAAGCCTGTTGTGTGTGTTTGAAGGTGAGAGTTTAACACGTTCACCAGCCACGAGGAGAGGATAAAACCTAACCCAACCCAACCTCACATAACCTGACCTGGTGGTGAGTGTTACTTTGCCATGCACCTTCACGTGAGAGCCTAGAGTGTGTTGGTGAGGAGAGAGAGAGAGAGAGAGAGAGAGAGAGAAGTGAGAAAGGGAGGGAGAGAGAGAGGTAAGTACAGAATTCCAATAAATTTTGGTGGCAAGGCGGTAAAGGTGAGGCAGCGTCACAAAGGTCATTACTGTCACCCTTGTCTACTGCCACAAGCGTTAGTTCACCTCGCTCCCTCCTCCTCCTGGTGTTGCCTGTTTACATCCTCCTGCTGCCTGCTTACCTCCTCATGTTGCCTGCCTACCTCCTAATGCCTGCTTACCCCAGCTGCCTACCTACGTACCTACTTCCTCTTGCTTGTTTACTTCCTGCTGTTGCCTGCTTATCTTCTCCTACTGTTATCTGCTTGCTTGCCTACCTCCTGCTAACCCAACATAACACAAGCGACATTTGACATCCACCATTAACGAGAGGAGAATGTTACCGTACGTGTGTGCTGAACTGAGCCTATCTAGTTAAGGTTACATTGAACTTCGTATTATATTGATGCGGTGGAGGGGGAGTGTCTGACAGGTTAATTATCATGGGAGGAGACGGAGCCACACTGAGCCTTGAGACCCCCCCCCCTCCCACTGCCTTGAGGACCCCTCCACCACTGCCTTGAGGACCCCCACACCACTGCCTCGAGGACCCTCCCCCACACTGCCTCGAGGACCCCCCACCACTGCCTCGGAGGACCCCCCACCCACCACTGCCTCAGGACCCTCCCCACCACTGCCTCCCCCCCACCACTGCCTCGAGGACCCCACCACTGCCTCGAGGACCCCTCCCCACCACTGCCTCGGGCCCCCACTGCCTCGAGGACCCCCCCTACTGCCTCGAGGACCCCTCCCCCACCACTGCCTCGAGGACCCCCCACCACTGCCTCGAGACCCCCCACCACTGTCTTGAGGACCCCTCCCCCACCACTGCCTCGAGGACCCCTCCCCCACCACTGCCTCGAGGACCCCCCACCACTGCCTGAGGCCTCCCACCACTGCCTCAGGACCCCCCCCACCACTGCCTCGAGGACCCCTCCCCACCACTGCCTCGAGGACCCCCCACTGCCCAGGAGGACCCCACCACTGCCTCGAGGACCCCCCACCACTGCCTCGAGGACCCCCACCACTGCCTCGAGGACCCCCACTGCCTCGAGGACCCCTCCCCCCCACCACTGCCTCGAGGACCCTCCCCACCACTGCCTGAGGACCCCTCCCCCACCACTGCCTCGGGGACCTCCCCACCACTGCCTCGAGGACCCTCCCACCACTGCCTCCCCCCCACCACTGTCTTGAGGACCCCTCCCCACCACTGCCTCGAGGACCCCTCCACCACTGCCTCGAGGACCCCTCCCCACCACTGCCTCGACGACCCCCACCACTGCCTCGAGGACCCCTCCCCCACCACTGCCTCGAGGACCCCCACCACTGCCTCAGGCCCCTCCCCCCACCACTGCCTGGGACCCTCCCCACCACTGCCTCGAGGACCCCTCCCCCCACCACTGCCTCGCTTATATGATATGATGTGATATGATGTGTACGTGTGTGTGTGGTGGTGGGGGGGGAGAGCTCCTACTCCACATATCAAGAAGCGCTCAACACACACAGTCAGTCAGCTGTGGTAAAATAAACACTGTGTTCGTCATTTTTATTTGTATCGTTGACTAAACTGTCGAGGAAATTGTATATTTATTTAGGACGACGACAGTTCCTCCGTCTGTGGTAACGATGAACAGCCTGGCGTGTGTGTGTGTGTTAATATGTTCTCATTTATGTATTCTGTTTACATACCGTTTATACGTCGTTTGGGATAACCTTACCTGAAGATAAGACACCCTGGATTATTACCTTACCTTATCTTGCCTTGCCTTACCTTACCTTACCTGACCTGACCTGACCTGACCTGACCTGACCTGACCTGACCTTACCTTACCTTACCTTACCAGAAAGCATTGGTTGCGATGGCCGGCAGTATAGAGCGGGGTGGTGTGAGGAGAGGCCACCCGGTGTTTGGTGAGGTCAGTCACCACTAAACGCTGGTCTTTGGTGACTCATAACCTCGCTGGATGGACTTGGTGACTCACAGTTTTATCACTTGCTTTATCATTCATGTCTTCCACCTGTACACGCGTCCTCCCCTCCTCCTTCCCCTCTCCCCTCCTTCCCTCCCCCTTCCCTCACCCACGGGTACATGTTTTGTCATGCAGGGAGGCTGGTGATGATGCCTCATAAGGGGAGATTAACCTGTGTTGAGTGAGGGAGAGTTACCGCCCTCAGGAACTAAAACAACACCAAGGAGAGTGACGTTTAGGTGTGTGTGTACAGGAGACGTTAATAGTGTATGTGTGTACGTGTCCAGGAGCCGTTAATATTATGTACACACATACGCACTACTTCCGTCTCCTGTATACAAACGCACACATAATATCGACGTCTCTTGCGTACACAGAGACACACACACAATTCTAAACACAAACAAGAAAAATGTCAACACTTTAGACATGCATTATTATTACTTGGTCTGGCCCAACAACTCCGAGAGACAAATGGCTTTCCTGTCACTAACTGCGCCATTTATCTCACAGTCGATTGCCAGTCTTAAGTGTTTTTTCAGGGTTAACTGTGACCGCAAAAATACTCCAGTCGATTGTTTTTACTCCGTCCAGTCAAGCGAGCGGTGTACCAGTCACTGTCAGTCGCTCGTATATAAACTGTATCTAACTGTTCTTTATTGTGAAACACATCTTTTCTAAAACCAGATAAGAACCACCTGAAGATTAAACACCCTAACGCTACCTGGGGGTGGGTTAGGTGAGAGTTAATTTGGTTAGATTAGATTAGGGTCAGGTTAGATTTGGGTTAATCTGGTTAGGTTAGGTGTCGATAGGGTTGTTAATTTTCAGGTGAACTTGCCTTTCCCCCAAGTATATAATTTACCTGGTCCACTACTTAATGACTCACGCTGGTGATGGTTGAGGTCCTCTGACTCATTGGAACACTGGGTGAAACCTCGTGAGTCACTGGAATACTCAATGACTCAGGGGAGAGAGGAGTCGGCAGTGTTGGGAAATTCCTTGTGACTCATTGGGATGGGACGCGTCGGTAGTGACTCACTGGACACAGGGTGACTCAAGCGAGGGATATTAAGTAATCGTCATCGACTCACTTGATGACTCAATGACTCCACTAAGGGTACAGGAAGACCACCGTGACTCAAGAGGAATATTAAGTAATCGTCATCGACTCTGGATGACTCAATGACTCCACTAAGGGTACAGGAAGACCACCGTGACTCAAGAGGAATATTAAGTAATCGTCATTGACTCACTTGATGACTCAATGACTCCACTAAGGGTACAGGAAGACCACCGTGACTCAAGAGGAATATTAAGTAATCGCCATTGACTCACTTGATGACTCAATGACTCCACTAAGGGTACAGGAAGACCACCGTGACTCAAGAGGAATATTAAGTAATCGTCATCGACTCACTTGATGACTCAATGACTCCACTAAGGGTACAGGAAGACCACCGTGACTCAAGAGGAATATTAAGTAATCGTCATCGACTCACTGGATGACTCGACTAAGGGTGACTCAGGGATGTACTGCACTACTGGGTATCATGTATCAAGCTTCCCTCATAAGAGTTTTTCCTCCGGTTACTTTATATCTCAGTCGTCCCGGGAGAGTGACCTGCCGCTGTAGGGCTTGTGTGCTCACTATGCTTTTGTCCCTGTCTAAACGCCAATGATTTCGTACGTACGTGCGTGTGTGTCTAAACGTCCGTCATTTCGTGCGTGTGTCCATGATTTCGTGTGGCTAAACGTTTATATTTAAAGGATGCCTTGAGCTGTAGATGTACTGTATGTTGGTTTACGATACATAACTTGTACTGTATGTTAGTAATGTTTTGTTAATTATTTTTTTTATGTGTTTCAGTCCGAGTGGCAGTGAACTACGTAGCGTACCTGAGGTGGCTGAGTACCTGGCCACTGAGGGCACGTGTAAGTGTGGGCTGCAGTGTCCCCTCCGCGTCGAACACACCTTCAACTTCGACCCCAAGGTGAGTGTCCTAACCCATATACCCTCCTCTATACCCTCTACGCAGTTCAGGTAAGTTATCAATTAGCGTCGCCAGGTGAGGTGCCACTGCTAAATATAGTTATGTTGTTTATTTAAATTGTTGGCGGTGTGTTCGTAGGATAGATGATTCATTATGTGAGTACTGTATGTATGTATGTGTGTATGTTACCATGAGCGAAGAGTGGTGAGAGAGAGATAGATTGCGCGCTTTGTACGCATTATGAGAGAGAGAGAGAGAGAGGTAGGAAGGTTTGTACACATAACTAGAGAGAGATGTGTAGGTTTGTACGCATTGCCAGAGAGAGAGAGAGAGAGAGCGCGTGATAACTCCCACTATAGCCACCATGATCCTATAATAACAGTATTAAAATAACCCACCACGATATATCCAAACTTGTCATTGAAAAAAAAATACATGAGTGTGTTTTACTGTGGTTTAGGGAGAGTGTGTGTGACCCTGTGTGTGTGTGAGTGACCCTGTGTGTGAGAGAGTGACCCTGTGTGTGTGTGAGTGAGACAGGGGGTGAGATGCGCATAGTGTGTGCGCCTCTCACCGCCTGGGTTGTGCTTGCCAACAACAAAGGGTGTGCGGGGTAGTGGTTACCATGGCGACGGGCTGTGTGGCTGCCTGCCGATACCTTCATACTGTGCTGGAGGGCCTACACCCACCCACCCACCCACCCATACACCTCACCCACACCCACCCACCCATACACCTCACCCACACCCACACCCTCCCCCATACACCTTCCACCCACCCATCCACACACACAACAACTTCTACACACCCACCCACACATACACCCACCCACCCACACGCCCTACACCCACCCACACACCCTTGCACACACCCCACACACCCTTGCACATACCCCACACACCCTTGCACATACCCCACACACCCTTGCACCCTCCCCTACACGTCTAGATGACAGATCAAATAGGCCCTCACCTCGCCACTAGATTTAAAGCCCAGACCTATTGGGCCCCAGACTTAATGAGTAAGCTAAGTTAGGTCTGGACCATTTAACCCACACCCTTACGCCCACCTACACGCCCACAGGAGAGGCTATGTCTTGTACAATCACTGATCAGTTCTGTTGAGAGGTAATTTTTTTTACGAAGTTCCGCATTTTATATCTTGTGGAACTTTCACCCCAACACGTGTAAAATTAGCTAGGATAATCTGTGTTAGGTTGGGGTAGGAATGAGTTAAATTAGGATGGGTTAGGATGGGTTAGATTAGGTTAGGATGGGTTAGATTAGGTTAGGATGGGTTAGATTAGGTTAGGATGGGTTAGATTAGGTTAGGATGGGTTAGATTAGGTTAGGATGGGTTAGAATGGGTTAGGTTAGGTTAGCATAGGAGTCAATTAAGTCAGGTTAGCTGAGTTCAACAAGGAGGTTCCCGGCGCTGTTATTAGCCAGTCCCTTTTGGCGCCAACAGACAGGCCATTAAGGACAACAGTGTACAGTCTGCCGTCATTAAGAACACTGCTGATGGTACTATTGAATTAATTACAATATATAATACTGTACAGTATATGTATCAGTTTACTGTTGAAGAGTAGAGAGGGGGAGGGAGGTGGTGTTGTATGAGTGTTGGGATGTGTTGTAACTTAGCTCTCTCTCTCTCTCTCTCTCTCTCTCTCTCTCTGTCCTCTCCCTACTTACCTCTCTCCCTCCCTCCCCCCTTCTCTTTCTTTCCTCCTTCCCTTCCTTTCTTCCATCATTCTCTCTGTCCCTTACCGTAACCTATCCCCTTAGCATGTCAACACACACACACACACACACACACACACACTCTCTCTTCACCTGTTAATGAAAACGCATTGACAACGCACTGTACAGGGTTGCTATGTATACATTTTGGAATTGGTGTGTGTGAGTGAGCGCTAAATTTTTTAATTTGACCATAGTAACAGCAGCACTTCTAGAATCACACACAGTTAGTGTTAGGTTTTGATTAGTGTTAGGTTAGTGTTAGGGTTTGATTAGTGTTAGGTTAGTGTTAGGTTTGATTAGTGGTGTTAGGTTAGTGTTAGGTTTGATTAGTGTTAGGTTAGTGTTAGGTTCGTGTTAGGTTTGATTAGTGTTAGGTTAGGTTAGTGTTAGCTTAGTGTTAGGTTAGTGTTAGGTTAGTGTTAGGTTAGGTTAGTGTTAGCTTAGTGTTAGGTTAGTGTTAGGTTTTAGGTTAGTGTTCTGGTGTTTAATCATGGGGTGAAGTAAGCCGGGGTGGGTGTGTTTGTATTGTTGAGGTGATCCATAAGGCCGACACCGACCGCCTTCCTTACGGCGCGAGGAGTGACTATTACTACTGGAAGTCAGAGCTAAACAAGGGTCATATAACAAAGGTACTCATAACTATCCAACCAGGAGTGATCTGGTAACAATGGTTTTAAATTAGACAAATTTAGATTTAGGCGCGAGATAGGTAAACATTGGTGTGTAAATAGAGTAGTGGACGAGTGGAACAAGTTACCAAACATCATCATTAACTCAATACGCCGGACAGCTTCAAACATCCAGTAGGTTGGATGGATGTATAGGGGCTGGGTGTAAACGGTACTGTCTAGTATGGACCAATAGTTACTGTTTCCTCCAGTCTTATGTTCTTATGGAAGGAAGGGTGAATGATGGAGGAAGAAGGGAGGAGGAGTGAGGGTGAATGATGTAGGAAGAAGGGAGGAGGAGTGAGGGTGAAGGATGTAGGGAGAAGGGAGGAGGAGTGAGGGTGAAGGATGTAGGAAGGGAAAAGGAATATGGAGAGACAAGGAAGGAAGAGAAGCGCACTAATCATCGTAAATAAAATAAGAAAAATATAGAAAAATCAACCAATAAAAAATAACAAAAACAAAATAAAACAAAATCCACTACAATAAATAATGACATTAATGAATAAAACAAAACTTTAAATGAATAATGAAAAGTGAGTCAGCCGCCATGACCGACAGATATTAATGACGAGTGTTCATGTGTATTAAATATTTATCGTAATGTGCTGTGACCTCAAACTACACCTATATACACCCACTGTTATGGCCACACACTGTATACTGTGTGTGTGTGAGGGGAGGAATGAGGGAGGTGTAGAAGTGAGGTGAGGTATAATTAAGTGTGTGAGGTGAGGCAGGTGTTGGGGAGGAGCAAGACGTGAGGCCGAGCACACAATTGATCGTATGTGTGGGGGCGGGGAGCGGTCGGGAGGAGGGGCAGACTACCACTCCTCCCCTGTCCTTCTCTCACTCGCTGTAACATTCCTCCCTCACCTGTTTCACGTGTTAATAGGCCCCGGTTTTTAATTAATTTACCATCACCTGGAGATTAGGTTAGGTTAGAGTGTTTAATCTTAAATTCACTTTATTCCTAACCTAACCACTTCGTTGTACTGTAGCGAGGTCGTTTAGAGAGACCAGTCTTGGCTTCCGTGTAGGTGGGCGGGATTGTTTATGTACTGTGTTATCCCCGCGTAATAATTGTGGGCGTGAGAGTGAGTGAGGTTGTTGGAGGCAGCGGTGTAGGTGATGGGTCGTTGGTGCAGTGGTGGCGTATGGTGGTGGTTAATGAGGTCACCTGTCTCACTAAATCCCATCCTTACCTGAATTAATCATAAAGGTGTTTCATTAACCTTAATTATGATGGTACAGGTGTAGTAATTCCCATTTGGTGACTGTAAACAACCATAGTGTGTGTGTGTGTGGTCACCTTGCTTCATCGTGACCAGGCTGGCTGCTCCCTCCGACCTTAACGTGTATCTCTCGCCGTACACGTCAACACCTGCCTCTCCTGTGTGACCTGAGGTGACCTTTAACCCTCGTACAGGTGTGGTGATTGAGAGAAAAGTATGACGTAATGTCTGTGAGGGAGGAAGGTAGACGGTGTTGGTGAAGTGTTGAGGGAGGTGGACGGTGTTGGTGAAGTGTTGAGGAAGGTAGACGGTGTTGGTGAAGTGTTGAGGGAGGTGGACGGTGTTGGTGAAGTGTTGAGGGAGGTGGACGGTGTTGGTGAAGTGTTGAGGGAGGTGGACGGTGTTGATGAAGTGTTGAGGGAGGTGGACGGTGTTGGTGGTGAAGTGAACTCAGCCAGACTGTGGGAGGTGACCGCCCAGTACGCGCTGCACACTGACCTTGTCTAGCTACCCTGCCTCACACCGCTACCCTGCCTCACCCCGCTATCCTGCTACACCCCGCTACCCTGCCTCACACTGACCTTGTCTAGCTACCCTGCCTCACACCGCTACCCTGCCTCACCCCGCTATCCTGCTACACCCCGCTACCCTGCCTCACCCCGCTACCTTGCCTCTTACATAACCTGCCTCCACCGCTTCCTACCTCCACCCCACTATCCTGCTACACCCCACTACCCTGCCTCACCCACTTCACCCTGCCTCACACCTTCCTGCCTCCACACCACTACCTACTCACCCCCACTTTATCCTGCCCACACCCCGCTACCCTACCTCACCCCGCTACCCTGCCCCAACCCCTTCTCCCTGCCTCACACCGCTACCCTGCCTCCACCGCTACCCTGCCTCACCCCACTATCCTGCTACACCCCCACTACCCTGCCTCACCCGCTACCTTGCCTCACCCCGCTACCCTGCCTCCACACCGCTACCCTACTCACCCCGCTATCCTGCCCCACCCCGCTACCCTACCTCACCCCACACCTTGCCTCACCCCCTTACCCTGCCTCACACCGCTACCCTACCTCACCCCATATCCTGCTTTACCCATACCCTGCACCTCACCCCGCTACCTTGCCTCACCCCGCTACCCTGCCTCACCCCTTCACCCTGCCTCACCCCTTTACCCTGCCTCACCCCCGCTATCCTGCTACACCCCGCTACCCTGCCTCACACTGCATTATATTCTGTAATGATGTGATGTAGTTTGTGAGGTCATTAGTGTGGGACGACCTGCTATCCTGTCTCACACTAACCAAACCTAACCTATTCTAACCAAATCTAATCTAACCAAA